TAAGTTATACATACATACATGTGGGATTATTCTATTAAACTAAGAAAAAAATAAATTAATTGTTGTTAATAAATGAGTATAAGTGGTATTAGTTGAAATATAGCAATATCATTTAACATTATACTAACAACAAATAATTTTGATCAACAGTTGCGAGCAAATTTGTCTGCTAATTTGTTCAAGAATAACAGAACAAGTGCTTGGCATATTTGATATATTTCAATATCTGATAATGAAAGTCTCCATAGATAAAATTTTAAAATTTTACTTAGAGAACTAGAGATTTAAAGCAACTCAATAAAGTAAAATATATTTATATAATTTTCAATGTTTTGCAAACTTAATACTTAATATGTAGTCATTCATTATAATCTAATATTATCCAGTTAATACTTCTAGCATAGTAGCGTCAAAGTTACAATATTAGCCATTTTTGAAACCTTTTGATCTGCAAAGCTTCTATATTCGAATTAGATTAATCCATTAATTTGTTTATAACTTTTTTTTTTTTTTTTTTGAAATGTCTTTTGATTATTATAATTTGCTAGAATTATTTAAAATAGCATGATCATACACTAATTATAGGTTAGAATCAAGAATGGTAAAATTTTTTTAAATAATAACTTGGTACTATTTAAATTTTGCCAAAGGCAAAGATTTTACTAAACAATTCGTTACGAATATATCTAAAAATAATAATAGCTTTTGATTAATATCAATATGTAAATTTTTATGATCAGTTTTAATGTTGAAATATACTAGTTGTGTCAATTTTTTGTTTCTGGAAATATACTTTTAGTGACCTGCCAGTTTTTTCTTAAAAATACTAGATGCTCGAAAGTAGTAGGTAGAAGTGATATTCTTTTTGTAGTCATTGTGTTTCCAGCATCACTAAACAATCATTTGCTTGTGGTTGAACTTGCTAAAATGGCCAAATATTTTTGAGCCAACTTGCTTAATACAGGAAATCGTTTTTGATTAGTGTGCCACCAGTTTAGTGAATATTGATCCTATAAAATTTCTTGAATTCTGAGATAATCTAAAACTTCTAATCACAGGATTTATCTTGAAATATCGAAGCTAATAAGGAATTAGAGTGGTCCTGTATATTATTTTCTTCTCCTATTCTATATAAAACTTGTGATTCTTCATATTTAGTTTTAAGTAATTCGAAGGTTTTTTTTAATATTCTAACATAAAGAAAAGAGGCTTGCATCGAGGATCTAGAAGTGTTGCCAACATTGCTTCATCATTAGGCATATTCCAATAATATACCATAGCCTCATATAATACTGACTTTACATTTTCTATAAGATTTTCACAATTTTGCAGACGATTAATATTAATTTAACATTTTCTATTTGATACATAGGTTTCTTAAACTTCATCATCTTCATAAATAACATCATTCTCAAAAACATCGTCAGAAGAATCAAAATCTATATCTAAAGTTCTATTTGCTAAAAAAAGCCTTTGCTTGATTATAGTAATTGCACTATACATAAAACTTATCATAGCATATTTGCTATCTTCTAGTAGTTCTGTCACTTCAGCAAAAGGCCTCAAAACTTCAACTAGTGATAATAGGATATTCTACTCATCGCTTGTTAAATTAATTTTTTTTAGACGAAAACCATCTCTCCGAGTTTGCAAATCATTGTCTAGAGTTAAATTAGTTATCATCATACTAATAATATCACGAATTTGTATAAGTCGTTTCCAGAAAAGGTATGACGAGTTCTATTGCATGAAGATATTAGCAATAATTCATAGTTGGTGATCATTATTTTCTAGGTTCTGAAAATTTTAAGTAAATTTAATATATTATATGTTAGATTAACATATACATTGTTGGCATTTCATTTCATTAGAAAATTTTAATTTAATGATATAAAATAGAAAACATTCTAATGTTGCTAAGACTAAAATATTATAATTCTATCCTTGTTATAACTTAGATTCTTATCTTAGCTCTAATCAAATTCTTAATTTAATACCTACTATATTTTCAAATCGATGTAAATTTTTTTGGGCGTCGATTAATCTTTCTGTTTGTTTAGGTGTTATAAAAAACAACATAAGCTTTTTAGCATGTGCTATGAGAACTTC